ACAAATTATCTATGTACATGCATTATCCCATTCTGCAACCAGCACTGTAAAAAAATTTGCCAACAAAAATTTTATAAAAAAGCCTATCTTCGTTGAGAGCTGGACACAACTGAATGATTTGTGCATACGAATATGGCTGTACAACAGCCAAGTACAGGAAACATTCACCAATCTCCTTTCACTATCCTAGCTGCCCTACACTGGTTAGGACACAAAAGCCAATTGTTCATAGCTGTCACTATTCTTCACACATCATCACTGTTCTCTGGACCCTGTTAATAAATACCTCCCACTTATCTGGTAAAGCAGCATGCAATAGCTAAGGTTGCCAATGCTTCTAGGAAAATATCAGCCTTGACATATCTATCTAATTTATAATATTGACAATAGCAATGAGCAAAGTTCTGAAGAGTTGACAAGTGCCAGATCGGCCAAACTTATAAAAAATTTGCAAATCTTTGAAATTTGGAATTCCCAAATCAGAATTCCTGTTGAAATCAATGGAGGTCTAAACCAAGCTCCAAAAAAGAATGTATTACATAGTAGCAAATGATACAAAGTTGTGCAGAATGGGTTGGGAAGCTCCTAGCAGGCTGATGAGATGATAGGACCTAAAAAAGCCTGAACCACTTCCTTTATAAACCGAGTTACATCCAAAGAGTAAAGGTACAATTACCATATTTGTCTTTTACAAATGAGCAAACCTCTAAAAAAAATTCTGACCAAATGTTTTAAAACTCTGCAAATCTCCAAGTCATTGAAAATTTTAAAAAATCTGTATTACAGAGTAGTAAATAATGCAAAACTATGCAGATTGGTTTGAGAAGCTCCTGGTAGCCCTGTCTGATGAGGTGATAGGAAATGGAGATATGTCACACAGTTTATTTCTAAAGCTGGAGAGTCCAAAATGCCCTGCATGACCAATCAGCTTCCAGGTTTCATGGTGTGAGGTCTGAAATCTGCCTCAGATTTTTTCCATTGGAGTAATTTACCCCACAGTATCTCATTGACCTAATATGGCCATGTGGGTCTGAAATCTGCCTCAGATTTCCATTGATTTTAACAGGGACTTCTGGTTTGGCAAAAAATTTCAAAGATTTGCTAATTTTTTTTTTTTTTGGCCAAACCACAACTAGTTGTATTCTTCAGAAGTTTGCTCATCTCTACTGCCAATGTTATAAATTAAAGTGGATTTTCACCCTCTTTGTGAAGTTCCCCCCTCTTGACCTCTCCTCTTCTCCTCTGCATGAATAGGGCAGCCGTTTTTTTTTTTACCTTTTCTTCTTTACAGAAGCGTGGCCTCGCCCCTCCAAGCACATCATGCACCTTGGAGAATGATGTGCACAGTGCTTGCTCTGGGCCTCCTGGAATATGCATGCCACATATCCCAGGATGCCTTTAGTCTTTCATTCAGCAAGTAAAAGGGAGGTGGGCCTAGCGGCGCATCATTTCGGGGCTCCGCCGGCTGAACTCAGAAGAGCCCACGGGCCTCTTGAAGCTGTCACAAGTAAGATGGTGGTAAAAGACCAAGCAGTGTCTGTTGAGAGAAGGATATCAGTGGGACAACACTGGATCCGGTTGGTGAATGAGTGCCTGTATTGTGTCTACAACACCACCAGGCAAGTGGGGTATAGAAAAAAAAATGGAAGGGGGGGGGGAGTAAGCTGAAGGTCCTCTTTAAATAGATATCCACTAAGCTCTGGGGATACTTCCTTTACAAAATGCAGCTTCTCTTGCAGCCTTTAGTAAATCAACCCGATGGCACGGTTGTCACCCTAGAACAGGAAGTAGGTTTACCAGCAGAGAATAAAGCAGAAAGCGAATGCAACCACCACATCTAAAGATTGGTAAGCTGCAATATATTACATTTTTGTTCACAGGTTAAGAGAAAATCTATAATGAGCTGATATGGGTTACCCCATTATTGCCCTTCGTCTTAAAAAATAATTTGCCATATGTAATGTGCACTACCCCCCAGCAACCAATCATGGTCCTGCCTTCTCTAAAATAATGGAGCATCAATGGCATCTTGTTGGTTGCTAGAGGTGACCACACCATGCAGATCAATACTGCTCCAAATGCTGCCTTTCTAAATGAGCCATTTGTCTGCAGCCAGTGAATTTAGACCCCCTTTGTGCTCTCTCTGTCACTCAATGCACTGCAGTGCTCTCCAGCCTGGCTGGGATAAGGGGAGAGCAATGGAATTCAGTGGGACTCAGTGCAGGAGAAAACAAACAGAAGGAAAGGCACGGACATTGAGCAATCAATGGTGGCTGAAGAGTAGGGAAGTAAGACAGAGCTCACTTCATCTCCTAACGCTGCGTAGCTGAGCGAGAAAAGGAAGAAAAAAAAAAAAAAAACACTGGCTGCGAATTAGCAGCCCAGTTCTGATTGTATCAGCAATCTTTGAAGATATTCTATAATTGAAAACCACTGCCAACATTTCCCCGTCAATAGTTTTGGACACCAGCTCTAAAGTGAGTAAGATTTACACAGGGGCCGTAATTCAAAGCCGCCAGAGATTCCTCCACCCTCCCCCCCCTTTTTATAATTAAATATACATCAAAGTAAGCCAGGTTAATAGCAGCCCTGCGTTAAATAAATAGAACTGGAAAATGAATCACAATACAAAATGCACTTTTTTTTTCCTCTTGTGCCTAAAAATACAGCATTCTCCTGACCCGATGACTGCTGCATCTGGATAGGAGATGCTGGGCTGGCATTAATATGATCTTGGTGTATACAGGTGCAGCATTACAACACATTGCTAATCCCACTGGCTGCTATTACTCAATACATAGGCGTCTTGTCACAGCCCAGGTCTTCATGGACCAGAGAAAAAAAAAGACAGCAGGATAAGCAGATCATGGTAATTTTGATATTGGTGTACGCGTGCTTGTGTGCGTGCCTGTTTATACAGTGCACAACACAGCATGTAAAAAATTATATATACATAGATGGCAAAAGTACATGTGATGTACATTCTTACCAATAAAAATAAAAAATAATAATAAAAATAATAAATAAAAAAAAAATAATAAATATATATATATATATATATATGTGTGTGTGTGTAAAATGCATGTATGGTATATACAGTATATGTATATATATATATATATATATATTCATTCATACTCTCGCATGTGTATACATTTTGTAATCAATATATATTATTGTTTCATACACACACACACATATATATATATATATGTAAACACTATAAGGCTGAGAATTACATAAAATGTTCTTAACAGACCTATAAATATTTTAAATATATATATATATATATATATATATATATATTAATCAGTATATATATATATATATATATATACACACTGATTGAGAGATATATATACATATATGTTTATATATATATATATATCAGTATATATGTTTACAGTACAGTAAAGGCTATACAATGCTTACTATACATACAAGTACTATATATATATATATATATATATATATATATATATGTATATACACAAATGCCTATTATACATACACAACACAATATCACTCTAGCTATTTATTTTTCCTTCTATTGATGCATCAAACCCATCAGTTTGCCTATCTATCTATCTATCTATCTATCTATCTATCTATCTATCTATCTATCAAACCACCACCCAAAATTAAACACATATGCGTTACCCACTCATAAGCATTATCCTCCCAAAAAAATTAAAGTATCACATGAAAAGCCTAAAAAAGAATCCATTGCAGAAGGTGCAGTCATAAAGGCAAGAGCATGCATTAAAAAAAAGGGTAATCTTGCTCTGTTCCTTCTTCTTCCTTTTCCTTCCTCCTCCTTAATGTTGATGATTTTTGTGTAAGGCATTGAAAGAGAAGCTTAAAGTCTTTTCCATTTCATCAGCAAGGCACATATATTACTTTACTGGTTCACTAAAATGTTGGTTTAATGCCCACCCCCTTTCAATCTGCCCATGTCTGAGATTCTCTGTTCGAGCATACAATCATGACCAGCTTACGACACTCAGTGTGCAAGAGGCGCCTCTGCATGCTTTAGCAACATACTGGCTCAGCTGAAGAAGAGAAGGAATCCTTAGCTTGTCTGCCTTCTTTTTTTTTTTTGCTCTCTTTTTCTTTGCTTTAAACGTCGACTAATCAACTAGATGCAGAAGGGGGAAAAGAAAGGACTTAGCGGAATGAATCTATGGTCTTCTGCTCATTGACTGGATGGTGATCTGTCTTTTTTTTTTTTTTTGTGGTTGCTTCTGGTGAACAATTATTTCAGAGATGGACACTGAGCAGCCTTGCCTGATGCCGTGGAGATCTTAGCAAAGAGAGTTCGGAGTTCTTTCCAGAATGACACCGTAATCACCGCAGAGGCAAAAGGACGGGTATCGAAAAGAGGGGATCAAGCTCCTTGTTGTGCAACTTGAAGGTCCTACAAGTCAGCTACAAAGGTAACCGGACCCCCACCACCACCACCCCCTTCTTCCCTTTCAGCTCATTGAGAAGGAGCAAAGGGGGATATTGTAAGCCTTGCCAGCCTTCGCAAAGGCTAAAAGCTACTGTATGTCTGTACACAGAGGGGTCTTTTTTAGCCCGGCATATAATTAGCCCAAAACACAAAGGAAGCAGCTGAATGGAGCTTGTCACTCTCTGGAAAAGGGTGGGTAAGATACTTTTTTAATTAAATTCTTTCATGAAGAAAGATATCCCCCTCCCGACCACCACCCTCTCTTCTGCAGCATTTATCATGAACAAAACCCAATCACCTTCCAATTTGCATCACCTTTAATGCTGCCAAGATTTCTGCATGCTGAAAAAAAAAGTCCCTCTGTTGACCTATGACATGTATTTCACTGAAATATGATGTAGAAGCCGCAGACATTTTCAATGGACATTCTCGGGAAAAACTGGAACCGTGTTTGCTAATGGATTTCCTTCTCATTGGTCTCTGTTTAAACTGGATGCTGAGAAAGCCCCCTGGGTTAATACTGTGTGCAATGGGCATATTTGTTAAAATGCTTCCACTGGTGAGCAGTGGCTGTCCCAGAGTGTGCCGTTGCGAGGGCAGGTTCTTGTACTGCGAGTCACAAAATGTCACGGAGCTTCCTCGCAACCTATCGGGCGTGATGGGCTTGTCGCTGCGGTACAACAGCTTGACGGAGCTGCAAGATGGACAGTTCACTGGGTTAATTCAACTCACGTGGCTCTATCTGGATCACAATCACATAGACACAATAGAGGGGGATGCCTTTCAAAAACTGCGTAGGGTCAAAGAACTCACACTTAGCTCCAACAAAATCACACATCTAGCGAACCATACTTTCCGACCCATGCCAAACTTGCGCAGTGTGGATTTGTCAAACAATAACATACAGTCCCTGGCACCGGATCTGTTCCACGGGCTACGCAAGCTGACGAGTTTACAGATGCGCCACAACGCCATCAAGTTTGTGCCAGTAAGAATTTTTCAGGACTGTCGCAGCCTCGAGTTTCTCGACTTGGGATACAATCAGTTGAAGAGCCTGGCCCGCAACTCCTTTGCAGGCTTATTCAAACTTGCAGAACTTCACCTGGAGCACAATGACTTAGTGAAAGTTAATTTAGCTCACTTTCCCAGGCTCCTCTCGCTACATTCTCTCTTTATGAGAAAGAACAAAGTCACCATAGTGGTTAACTCTTTGGACTGGGTGTGGAAGCTCACCAAAATGGATCTCTCTGGGAACGAGATTGAATACATTGAACCTCACGTTTTTGAAAGTGTACCTCATCTGGAATCCCTACAGCTCGATTCCAATCGCCTCACCTATATCGATTCTAGAATCCTGAGTTCTTGGAAATCTCTCACCAGTATCACCCTGTCCGGGAACAACTGGGACTGTGGGCGTAACGTCTGCGCCTTGGCCTCTTGGTTGAACAACTTCAAAGGTCGCTATGATGGCAACATGCTTTGCACCACTCCTGAGTATGCCCAAGGAGAGGATGTTTTGGATGCTGTCTATGCCTTTCATTTATGTGAGGACCCTACTGATCCAACTAGCCCCAATGCCATCATCACCTTCTTTAACAACAGTGACAAAAACGCCCATAACAATCCCACCATGACTACTGCCACCTATGATGTACAGGATACCGAAGGGGAAAAAACTACGGACATCTTGATGGCTACCCTACCCAGCGAGCTTGCAGACAACACCATTCAGATTCACAAGGTGGTCACTGGGACTATGGCTCTGATTTTTTCCTTTCTTATTGTGGTTTTGATGTTGTATGTTAGCTGGAAGTGTTTCCCAGCCAGCCTCCGGCAGTTGAGGCAGTGCTTTGTGACACAACGTAGGAAGCAAAAACAAAAACAGACTATGCATCAGATGGCTGCTATGTCTGCCCAGGAATACTATGTTGATTACAAACCCAATCACATCGAAGGAGCCCTGGTAATTATTAATGAATATGGTTCCTGTTCTTGTCACCAGCAACCTGCCAGGGAATGTGAGGTGTGACCAAGTCTTTCACAAAAAAAGGGATTTAAAACACTGTACAACCAAATAACGATGGCATATAGACCAGCTGAAGAGAATATTTTTGCACCTCTTGACTTGATATGGAAAGGGGAATCTATTGAAAAGAAAAAAAAAAAAATCAAAAACTTGACCTTTTAGCTTTATTGTGTCTTAAAAAAAAACCTTCAGGACATGAAATCGATAAAAACAAAACAAAAAAATTAAAAAAAAAAAAAAATATTCTAATGGTACGAAGATTTGTCTATATTCAGGAATCTAAGAGTGTATAAAAAAAGGTACCACATTGAATTTTTTTTTTGTAATCTACGATGTTTAAAAAGGAAAAAAAAATAATAAAATAGCATTTACAATATTTTTTTTTTTTTTTTTTTATTTTCCTTTGCACGGTGATGTTCAAGTAAATCAATGTCATTGAGAACATAAATCTCATTTCCTCTTCATCTGCAGTTTCTTGGCTGTGTGGCACCCCCAGCAACAGGGAGAATAAAGCAGCCTTGATTTAGCTATAGATGGATCAATGGCTGGTAGTTTTAATGGCTCACCCTGCAATAAAACTCTGGATTATTTGTGGTGTCGTTGCTTAGGCAAGCACTGCAGATTTGATAGGAGGAAATTAAAAAGAAAAAAAAAAACTTTAAACCTGGTTTTGCTTAGTTGGTTACCATCAAAGATTTGGTAGACTTCCAAAAGGTTGTATTCGGAATCTTTGAATCACCTGTTGACCGGTGACATGCGTTGAATGAAATGCAAAGTTGACGATGTTGCATTTTGGGCAAAAGGTTGTTGCTTGAGACTGCAGCAAAAAAAAAAAAAGAAGAGAGCTTGGGCATAGAACAGCCTTTTTGGTCTCTGTTTGTACCTTAACCATTGCTGTACTCCATAGCCTGTCCAATCCATAGCTTAACCCCCTATGTGTTCATTTGGCAACTTAAGTCTGAATCATGACTCGGTGCAGTTCCTGCAGTCTTGGTCAAAGTGCAGTTTTCAGTTTTTGGTTTTATTTTGAGTGGTTTCTATAGGATTGTGACAGAAAGCAGAGAATACAGGGCTGGAGAACATCAGTTTCTATAGAGAATCATTCGCAAATCCTAAAACCGGAGGGAAGTATTACTAGCAAGCCGCTATCCACAATGCATCCGATCCACCATTAATGGGGTATATTTATAAAGCATGGAATCTGACATTCTGTAAACATTCTCTGCAAGTGAATCTTTGTGTTTTACGTGGCAGTGATTGATTCTCCACCAGTCACATTCTCTGCTTTATATATAGACCCCTGGGTGTATGCTCAGTGAATAGTTCGCATTGGCAATGGGGTCTGTAATGTAAAGTATATTGGATTTCTCTATACACAGAGTTGTCTCCGAGACTGGACTTATGACTGGAATGTGCTCACTATGCAGGTGCTAGGGAACTACAAGTGTCAGCAAGCCCTGACTGCTTTCTCCTCCGTCTCATATATTGGGAAAGTCTGCAAGACAATTGGGACTGCAATACCCAGCATTCGTCATTGGCCTAATTATATTGTTTTATATATAGGGAGTTCCTAGAATTACAGCTGATGGGAAACCACAAATCCCAGCGTGCCTAGACCTGTGTATACCAAGCTCTTAAGAGTTATATAGGGATTTGGGTTTTCAATGCTTGGCATGACGAATGCTGGGATTTGTGGTTCCATCTCAAACCCTAATGCTAGGACTTGTACCTTTGCCTCTAATCCTAATGCAGGAACTTGAGTTGAAGTCTACCTCTAACCCTAATGCTGGGACCTGTAATTCTGCCTCTAACCCTAATGCTGGGACCTGTAGTTCTGCCTCTAACCCTAATGCTGGGACCTGTAGTTCTGCTTCTAACCCTAATGCTGAGACCTGTAGTTCTGCCTCTAACCCTAATGCTGGGACCTGTAATTCTGCCTCAAACCCTAATGCTGGGACCTGTAGTTCTGCCTCTAACCCTAATGCTGGGACCTGTAATTCTGCCTCAAACCCTAATGCTGGGACCTGTATTCTGCCTCTAACCCTAATGCTGGGACCTGTAGTTCTGCCTCTAACCCTAATGCTGGGACCTGTAGTTCTGCCTCTAACCCTAATGCTGGGACCTGTAGTTCTGCCTCTAACCCTAAGACTGGGACCTATAGTTCTGCCTCTAACCCTAATGCCGGGACCTGTAGTTCTGCCTCTAACCCTAATACTGGGACCTGTAGTTCTGCCTCTAACCCTAATGCCGGGACCTGTAGTTCTGCCTCTAACCCTAATGCTGGGACCTGTAGTTCTGCCTCTAACCCTAATGCTGGGACCTGTAGTTCTGCCTCTAACCCTAATGCTAAGAATTGTAGCCCACCTCTAGCCCTAATGCTGGGACCTGTAGTTCTGCATCTAACCCCAAAGCTGGGAACTGTAGCTCTGCCTCTAACCCTAATGCTGGGAATTGCAGGCCCACCTCTAGCCCTATTGCTGGGACTTGTGGTTCCACCTCTGACCCTAAGGCTGAAACTTGTAGTTCTATCTGTAACTCTAATGCTGGGATGTGTGATTCTATCTCTAAACCTAATGTTGGCACTTGTAGTTCCATCTCTAACCCTAACACTGGGACTTGTAGTTTTATCTCTAACCCTAACGCTGGGAATTTATGGTTCCACCTCTAACCCTAAGGCTGGGACTTGTAGTTCTACCTCTAACTCTAACACTGGGGAATGTAGTTCCACCTCTAACCCCAATGCTGGGATGTGTAGTTCTACCTCTAACCCTAACTTGTTGTTCCACTGCTAACCCTGACACTGGGACTCACCTCTAACCCTAAGGCTGGGACTTGTAGTCCTACCACTAACCCTAACACTGGGATATGTTACATTACATATAACCCTGACGCTGGGACTAGTAGTTCCACCTCTAACCCTAATGCTGGGACTTGTTGCTCCACCTCTATCCCTAACACTGGGACTTACCTCTAAAGATTATGCTGGGACTTGTAGTTCTACCTCCAACCCCAATGCTGGGACTTGTAGTTCCATCACTAACCCCAATGCTAAGACTTGTAGTTCCAACACTACCCCTAATGCTGGGAATTGTAGTTTCAACTTTAACCCTAACACTAGGACTTATAACTAAACTATTCACCCTAATGATGGGACTTGTAGTTCCACCTTTAATCCTAAGGGTGGGACTTGTAGTTCTACTTCTAACCTAAATGCTGAGACTTGTAGTTCCATCTCCAACCCAATGTGGGGACTTGAAGTTCTACCTCTAACCACAATACTGAGACTTGTAGTTCCATCTCCAACCCCAATACTGAGACTTGTAGCTCCATCACCAACCCCAATGCTGAGATTTGTAGTTCCATCACCAACCCCAATGCTGGTACTTGTAGCTCCATCACCAACCCCAATGCTGAGATTTGTAGTTTCATCTTCAACCCCAATGCTTTGGACTTGTAGTTCCAACACTAACCTTAATGCTGGGACCTGTAGTTACACTACTAACCCTAAAGATGGGACTTGTAGTTCCACCTTTAACCCTAAGGCTGGGACTTGTAGTTCTACCTCTGTCCCTAATGCTGGGATTTGCAGATCCATTGCAGACTAAACACATTAGGCTGAAATATGTAGTCCGACAGCTGCTTTTATGACTATTGGGGCCCATATAGTATATCTATCGCTGGTAACCATAACATGCTGGGGCTTGTAGTTCCAAATCAATGTATTGGCTCCTGGTGGGACTTTCCATATCTGTCCGTGACTGCTAATAGGGGCCTTGGGGTTGTGGTTCTTCTGCACGTTTTCATGACCAGCTGAGACTTGTAGTTCCACTGCACTTGGTTATATATATAGTGGCACATCTGGGCAGCCCCAGTGCCCTCCAGTCCTTGTAGAGGTGTGTGTCCCACCTCCAGTGCTAATTACTGAGCAGAAGACAGAGCAGACAAAATCAGAACCGCAGAAATCTCTATGTATATTACCTGGGGGGTCTGGGTTGTCTCTCGGCTGTAGATCGCCCTGCGAATCAAAGCCTTGCTTTTAATTTCTATGTTACTATGGCAACAGAATCAAGTTGGAATATAAGATAAAATCAAGAGCTGATTGCTGTAGGTGTACTCCCCACTTCTGAGGGAAAACAACAGAAGAAGATGAGTGTGCTGCCAGAATACAGATATAGCAGAAATATTAGTGGGGGGGCCCTTTACTGGGGGGGAGGGGGGATCACTGCATGCTGCGGGCATGGAGAGGGTTAACCGGTCACATGGTCACACCGCCGCCCGCTATAAATCGGCATGGATCGGTAATTGTGGGGGATTCTTCTACTCATAGTATGGATACTTCCATCAGTCATGGATTTATTGTATCATATCATATACTACCAGCTGCATGCTGGAGATTCCATGGACTTCTCTTCATTCTGTATGGTTGTGTGCAATCAGTCATCATATAGATCTATCTATTTATTTGTATCTATCAATCTATCTATCGATCTATCGATCTACCTACTCCCTCCCTCTCACTCTATCCATTTGTCTATTAATCTATTGACTTCTATTCATAGTTATTCTATCTATCTATCTATCTATCTATCTATCTATCTATCTATCTATCTATATCTATCTATGTATCTATCTATCTACCTACCCCCTTCCTCTCTCTCTGTATCCATCAATCAATCAATCAATCAATCAATCAATCAATCAATCTATCCTCCTCTCTATCTATCTATCTATCTATCTATCTACCTACCCCCTTCCTCTCTCTGTATCCATTAATCTATCAATCAATCTATCCTCTCTACCTATTTATCTATCTATAAATCTACTATTTATCTATCTATCTATCTATCTATCTATCTATCTATCTATCTATCTATCTGTATGTCTATCCATTTATCTATGTATCTACACTATCTGTCTATTACCTATTGATCCCCCCCTCGCTCTATCCATATATCTATCTACAATCTAATCAAATCTCTCGCTCTCTCGCTCTCTCTCTGTCT